TGAGCATCATCACGCTCACACACGCATCCATTTCCACCTCATCACCATCACCGTCACAATCGTTATCGCACATCATCATCACGACCACCATCAAGATCACCATCACCATCAACACACACACGCACCCATTCATCATCAGCACCCTCTCACACAAACGCACTTTCTCACGCATCCTCACCATTATCAGATTCGAGCGCCTCCTCATCAGCGTCACTATCACCGTCGTCATCATCACTCACATTCGCTGGCACACCCACACATCACAATGACCACCATCAGCAACCATAACAATACACATCGTCATCACCATCATCATCATCACCATTATTCACCGTTGTCATCATCAACCAATCAACACTCACCATCATTCACCATCACCATCACGACCATCCTGCCTTCATCACTATCACCATCCCGTCGTGATCATCGGCCAAAAAGGAGCCTCGTCTGTAAGTTAAGTGAAATGGAATATCAGGCGGGAACCGCCTCTTTGTGGGGTCCGCACCTCATGTCGGTAATCCGAACGGGTCATCGGACATGTGTAACTGTCGTCACTTTTCGGCTACTCTGGAATATGGAGGAAGTTTCCGGCGGGAGATTCGTCTGTGAGAAAACTGCGGAAAAGTTTCAAGCGGGGCCCCCCTGCCTATGGGGTCCGCATTTCATGTTGGTAATCACAACTGGTCATCTGACATGGTAGTTGTCGTAATGTTTCAGCTCCGTTTGGCTGAATATGGAGGAGGTACCAGGCGGGAACTTCGTTTGTTTATGCATTGCGAGAGGTCTCACGCGATAACCCCTTCCGAATGGGGTCAGCAATTCACGTTGGTCACACCAGCGGGTCATCGGAAACGTGTAACCATCGTCACTGTTGGGCTCCTTTGGACTGAATGTGGAAGACGTCTCAAGCGGGTACCTCGTCTGTCAATGAATTGCGAGGAAATCTTAAGCGACATTCCCTCCGTGTGGGGTCCGCACTTCATGTTGGTAATTAATCCGAGCGGGGCATCGGAAACGTGAAATTGTCGTCACTTTGCGGCTCCTCTGGGCTGATTATGGAGGAGGTCTCACGTGGGGGCTTCGTGTGTGAATGTGTAGCGAAGAGGTATCAAGCAGGAGCCCCCTCGCAATGGGGCCCGCACTGCGCGTTGGTAATCCAAGCGGGTCGTCGGCAAACTTTACCCGGCAAAACATTTGAGCACCCCCAAAAACACACATCACGAGCGTTCCTGGCGCGTCTGTGAACGAGTGGCAAATCTCAGGCGGGAGCCCCTTCCTTCATCATGGGGCCCGCGCTTGAATGCGCGGCAAAAAATACCTTCTATCATTAGCATATAGAATAACAGAGCAGGGGCTTCGGATGCCGGTCCGAATCTCTCGCCCCCGCTACCTACCGCGGAATTCGGATGCAGGCCCACGGCTTCCAGGAATTCCCGATCTTCAAAAAGGTCGCCGGGGCGCTGCTGCAGAGTGCCGACGGCACTGACGACGACGGCGAGGCCGAAGCGCGGGCGAGGAGCTTGCTAATGGTCAGGCCCAGCGGGCAGGAACTCACGAGGCATAGCTCGGGGCCGCACGACGTGCGCCGCTCGGAGTTCACCCTGTCGCACGCGTCCTACCTGACCTCCACGCTGTCGCAGGGTCAGGCGCTGCGCAACGGCGTCGCCATCGGCTTCGCCAGGGAAAGGACGCTGGTCGCACGAGCATGTCGGACGAGCGGTGGTGGCTACACCTCTACGTGATGTTCTCCCGCGCCACGGGCATGCGGAACGTGCTGATCCTGCGGCTGCCCACGCGAGAGTTCCTGGAACGCGGGCCGTCGGCGTCCCTGCGGAAAGCGCTCGAAGAGTTGGACAAGAGAGCGGTGGACCCCAGGGCTGAAGCGGAGCAGTTCGCGGCTGAGCTGACCTTCTTGCTGCCTTCCGCCTGAGCGCGGCCGCGACTAACTCGGTGCCTGCGGAGTGGTCCCAGAGGCCTGCTCTCGCGCCCCAGCGGCTCGCGGGGTTGTCCCAACGGTCGCTGCCCCGACGGCTTCGTGATTTTGCCATCGGAGAGCGCGCCCCTGCCGGGCGCGGCGGCGAGGGCGCCGAGCCAGGAGGAAGGAGAGGTGCATGATGAGAACAGGCGGGATGGAGATGGGGGGGGAGAAGGAGGAGGTGGAGGAGGAGGAAGAGGAGGAGAAATTGAACAAGGAGGGCGAGCAGGAGGAGAAAACGGAGGACAAGGAAGACGAGGAGGACAAGGAGGAGGCGCAACAGAGGGCGAGGCGGGGGGCTTCGGCCAGGGCGAGGAGGACAGAGCGAATAACGATCTAAATAGATTCTCATGTGGGGTCCTACCGTCGTAGAAATGTCAGTGTGCTTTGCCCCCTCCTGACCGAAGACAGCCCAACGTGCCTCAACACACCCCAAGACCGTCCGCAAGCGCCTCGGGGGCCTCTCTGGGGCGTCAGAAACAGCCGCCAACGAGACCCCCAGAGGCTCAAAAGCTTTGAAGTACATCGGATAAACCCACGGTTTTGTTTCAAGATGATTTTCGGCTTCGGACCGCCTCGGGCGAACTTCAGAAAGCCCCAAGACGCTCCTCAAACGACCCACAAATGCTAGGCCCCCGAAAGCCGAAAGGACCCAGAAGACCCTCAAGAAACTAAAAAAAGTCCCCACCCCAAACTTCCAATACCAGTCAGTCGAAAGAAGTATGTAGAAATTTGAAGTAGAACAGCGCTGAAAGCAGATTGGGCTTACGCCCGCCCCCTGAAGAGAAGGAAAGAGGCAAAACTACTCGACCCTTGAAGAAAGATGTCGCCCAAAGCAGATAAGGATCTGGGAATCCAGAAAAATCTACCTTCGACGACCGACGGGAACGCCTTCAAAAGGGAAAACAGAGACAGAAGGGGAAAGAAGAGAAACAAAAGGGGTCGCTCAAGACCCGCGCCGGTGCCAACAAGGCACCGAGCTGGAGCGGGACTTCTGCCACCCAGCCTCCGGCCTGCTGCGCTGCTGCGCACTCACGGTGGCGGGATTCGCCGCGGGCAGCTGGATGCGAGAGAAAATCAGCGTCGCAAAAGCGGCTCTATTTGTCTGATGGTGTCTGCAACCAGAGCCCCGTTATCCATAGACGATGTCGGAAAGACGTCTCTTCAGCATCTCTGTCTCTGTGTGCTGAAGCTGTATCAAGTGACGCGTAGATTGCTCAGCCAGGAAACGGTCTCAAGAAAACATAACAGTCCAATCAGATATTCCGCCCAAGGTCCAATCGCGTGTCCGAACGGGTGCGCAGTACAATGTCTCATCGAACACTAGGTCGTTCAGGCGACGACGGACGCGCACTGCGTCGATCTGCCTACAGTGTCTAGAACCACGCGCGTGATCCGCGCGCGCATAGGTTCTAGCCAAACACAGGCGCAGGATTCGTTGTGGGGCCAGCTGCGGAGCCTCGCAGGGCCTTCTTGGGCTGTCTTGGACGATCCTGGAGGCCTAGGGCTGCCGTGGACGCTCGGAAAATTGCAAAAGATGAGGAACCAAGCATAGTTTTAAAACCTATGTGGTGATCCGTGGCTTGCGCTCGTCGGGCGCCTCTCCTCATCTTCGGGGCCTCACTTGCTAGTCTTGGGTCGATCTTAGCCTTCTTGGAGGCGTCTTCGGGCTACTGCAGGCCTACATAAGGTACCTGGTGCGCCCCCCCCCCGAGAGCGCTCTTGGGCCTCTCGTGGGCCCGCTGCGGAGCCTCGCTGTGTAATGGAGGGCCTTCCCCGATAGCCTCGACAAAATCGTGACTTCAAGACTCCGTGCGGGCGCGGTGTCGAAAAACGGAACGCAATCGGGTCCGGAAAACTCTCCGCAACTCCCGCGCGGCTTGTGCTCCGTCCTGTCGCTGCTGCGCACGCCCACGAACCTTGGACACCTTCTTCTCCATTTCCTCGTTCATCACGGTGTATATGTGCATCAGGGCGCGCAGTTTGTCCTCAGTCCAGGGTGGAGCAGGGATGGTGGAGGGAAAGAGCATGCAGGGGGAGGAGGGACGGAGGGAGGCGGGAAGGCAAACTAAGTGCGCTCACGCCATATCTGACATTCTACTGCTCCCACCCATCCCTTCCCATCGCGTTGAGCTTTCCTTTTCCTTCACTTGGGCTCTTGTTTTGAATCGAGCACCGCGGTCTCCAGCCCTCCTTCTCCTCTGCCCGTCTCCCTCCTGCAATCTCCTCCTGTCTTCCCACTAGTTTCTACCTGCCTGCAGCCAAGTGTGAGACTGTCGCCTCTTTCGACGGTTACTGGGGATCCAGCATAGGTGGGTCCTGCGGAGGTCCGCGCTCGACCTTGCCGTGCCTGGGGAGCTGCAAACTGCGAGACTGTTGCTACTTTCGGAAGCTGCTTGGGTGTCAATCGGGATGACGCCGCGCCGGGGGTTCAGATTAGATATCGCCATCCCTGAGGGTTTGCGAAGTGCGAAACACGCGCCAATTCCGACGGCTGATGGAGGTCCAGCATGATGGGGCCCAGTTGGGGACTCGGATTGGACCTCGCCACCTCTGCGGGGCTGCAAACTGCGAGTGTCGCCACTTTCGAGGGCTGTCGGAGGGTCCAACTTGATGGTGTCCCGCCGAAGATTCGGACGAGACCCCGCATCCTTGCAGGACTGCGAGTTGCAAAGCTGTTCCCACTTTCGAGGGCTGTTGGGGGTCCAGCATAATGGAGTCCCGCCGAGGATTCAGCGTAGTCTTCGCCAGCCCTGCGGGGCTGCAAGCTGCGAGTCTGTCGCCACTTTCGAGGACCGCTAGGGGGTCCACCATAGCGGGGCTCCGTCGAGTCTTTAAATTCGACCTCGCAACCCCTGCGGGGCTGCGAACTGCGAAACAGTCGCCAGTTTCGAGGACTGCTGCGCGGTCCAGCGGAGTGACTAGAAACCTCCTAGGTGGGGTCCGAGCAGATGGGGTCGGAGAATCGCGCCGCATCGACACTGCCTCGGCAATGCATCGGCGATACATCGGCAATGCATCGCCGACGTCGGCGACGCATCGGTGACGCCGGCGAGAAGGAAATCAGGCTCCGCATCGAGCCGCATCGTCGATGCATCAGCGATGCGGCGCGATCCTCCGACCCCATCTACTCCGACCCCATCTGGGAGGCCTAGAGTGACGCCCCGCTGGGGACTCAGATCCGGGGGGCGAGCGAGCTTGGCCTCGCTCGCTTCGTGCACTAGTTATGAGCAGCTCATCATTCAAGGCACCAGGTCGACATGGCGGCGGCATCGCTACCATCAGCGAAGTACTTGGAAACATCGTCACCTTCCTCTCTCCTCCCTCCTCCCTCGTTGTAGTCCTCTTCTTTCGTCCCCGTCTCCCTGCTGCTGCCGCGTTCGCTTTTAGGCCCCCTTCCGTGCTTCTCCTACCCCTCCTTCTTGCCCCATTCCTCTCCGAGCCTGGGGCCTCTCTCCTTGTCCCTCCATTGCTGTCCTGTGAGTCGCGCAGCGCTCCCGCATCCCATGCCGCTTGCGCAACAACCGGCAATTCCTGCAGTGCCGCCATCCGCGCTAATTTGGGCCACGTGCTCTGTGCGCTGGATGCACATGGGTTGGGTCTGTCGTGCGGTAACGTTTCTCTATCCGCCGCCCGGTGTTATAGCGGACCCGGATCATCCAAAATGACACTTGTGCACACTGGGGGAGGAGAGGTGGTGGATGAACAGGACGATGAGCAGGAATAACATGATGATGTGGAATACGGATGACGATGGGGAACAGCAGCAACAAGAGCAGGAGTGAGAGGGAGCGGACAAAGAGGAGGATAAGGGGAATAGGGGAAGGGAACGGGGAGACAACGTTGAAGAAGGACTGGGATCGAGAAAAATGGCCCACGCTGGGGACGCATTTCTGAACGACGGTAGCAGCGCACCCGTCCTAGAATAAGGCCCTCGCTGCAGCGGGGGCACCAATGTGAAACACCGAACACATAAAAAACACATAAAATAATATAGCAGCACTTGATATCCGGTGTTGAGCGATACACGGATGAGGCGGGACAGTTCTAGGACATAGGTGGGGGATAGAGGTGGGTCGTGTTCATGTTGGGCCATTGTAGGAGAAGGGAAGGACGACAGGCGAGTGGATGAGAGAGGGATGGGGGGAAGAGACACAAGCTCGTGCATGTGAGGGAGCGAGGAGGGCCTCAGATACTTGTTTCTTTTGTTGCGACGCGCGCGCAGAGGGAGCGGTCAAGCGCCTCGGCGCCGTGCCCAGCTCAGGCCCGTGCACCTAATCAGGGGTGGAGGGGGGGGGAAGGCCGCCACATACGACCCGCACAGGGGAGTGCACGACTGCGCGTGTGGCGGGCAGCTGCATCCGCGAGCGTCATTGGCAGCAGACCGCATGCAGCCCGGCTCGCCCCCGTAGCGGTGCCACCCGGGGCCCAGGCAGCACGGCTCGCCCCCGTAGCGGCAATTTGAAAAGTTGCCGGCTTGACGGCATGGCCTCAGGTCCCCCCTGGCAGCAGCAAGGGGCATCGGCGTTCGCACGAGGTGCGACGAACTGGGCGATTTCAGGCCGAGAAGACCAAAGCTTATGGCACCCTCGGCGCGCGGCTGGGGCTGCCCCCTGAGCAGGGAGCGGCCAACGAGTAGGGGTAGATGAATGCGCATGCGCGGCGCTTGAACTCGCAGAGGTTCATACCAGCAGCGGGCAAACATGAAGAAGAACCATCAAGAAACCATCGGCCACCATGCCGCGAGGCACGAAACGAAGTGCCGTCAAGATCATTTGAAGTCTCTGTGATGACATTTGTGAATGCTCTATACGGTGCCCAGACACCAAGTTCCAGGGCCGGCCTGGGCGCCCTTGTGGCGGCGAGCCCGTGAGGGAAGTGAAGAGGGACGGGCCTTGTCAGAAGGCCCAGAAGTCCCCAGGCCTTCTGGCAAATCTTCTAAGCCTTCCCCGAAGACGCAGAAAACTCTTATCAAGGCGCGAGAGCTTCTGAGAAGACCCGGGGCCTTCTGAGAAGGCCGTCTCCTTCTCACTTTTCCCCCCCCCCTCGGTCGCCGCCGAAATTCGCTCCGTGGCATGGCTTAGCCTAAGGCCCTGGAAGCGCTCTTCGGGCCCCATGCTGTCGACGCTCCCGAAGACGATCTCACCGGCGCATCCTGGAGCCCTCTTGGGCAATCTTGGATGCCCCAAAGCCCGGTCCGAGAGGCCCGGATCAGTGGAACTCAATACGTGTTTGAATGATGGTTTCCTCAACCATCCTGTTGAAGAGACAGCGCCCCGCATTCCCCTCCTTGCTTTCCTTTCTTCCTCCTCCTCCTCCTCCTCCTCCTCCTCCCCCTCCTCCTCCTCCTCCTCCTCCTCCTCCTCCTCCTCCTCCTCCTCCTCCTCCTCCTCCTCCTCCTCCTCCTCCTCCTCCTCCTCGTCACCCCCCTCACTTTGGCACACCCCTCACACGCTTCGTGGCCTCATAGGGAGCTCCACCGAAGGCTCCAGTGCCACCGCCCACATGCGTCCCCCATACCCATTTCGGCACACATCTCACACGTTTCGCGGCCCCACAGGGAGCTCCACCGAAGGCCCTAGTGCCACCGTCCACATGCGTCCCCCACACCCACTCCGGCACCCCCCCCACACGCCCCGCGGCCCCATAGGAAGCTCCACCGAAGGCCCCAGTGCCACCTTCCACATGCGTCCCCCGCACCAATTTTGGCACACCCTTCACACGTTTTGTGGCCCCATAGGGGGCTCCACCGAAGGCTCCAGCGCCACCGCCCACACGCGTCCCTCACACCACCCTCCGTTTGGTTGCCCCAAAGGGAGCTCCACCGGAGGCCCCAGTGCCACCGTCCACATGCGTCCCCGACACCCATTTTGGCACACCCCTCACACGTTTCGTGGCCCCATAGGGAGCTCCACCGAAGGCCCTAGTGCCACCGTCCACATGCGCCCCCCACACCCATTCCGCCCCCCCCCCCCCCACACGTTTCGCGGCCTCAGAGGGAGTTCCACCGAAGGCCCCAGTGCCACCGTCCACACGCGTCCCCCACACCCATTCCGGCCCCCCCCTCACACGTTTCGCGACCCACAGGGAGCAGGGAGCTCCACCGAAGGCCCCAGTGCCACCCTCCACATGCGTCCCCCACACCCATTTCGGCACCCCCCTCACACGTTTCGAGAAGGCCCTAGTGCCACCGTCCACATGCGTCCCCCTACACCCATTTCGGCACACCCCCCGCACGCTCCGCGGTCCCACGGGGAGCTCCACCGAAGGATCCAGCGCCACCGCCCATATGCGTCCCTCACACCCCCCTCAGTTTGGTTGCCCCAAAGGGGGCCCCACCGGAGGCCCCAGTGCCACCGTCCACATGCGTCCCCGACACCCATTTTGGCACACCCCTCACACGTTTCGTGGCCCCATAGGGAGCTCCACCGAAGGCCCTAGTGTCACCGTCCACATGCGCTCCCCACACCCATTTGGGCCCCCCCCCCACACGTTTCGTGGCCCCATAGGGAGTTCCACCGAAGGCCCCAGTGCCACCGTCCACATGCGTCTCCCACACCCATTTCGGCCCCCCCCCCTCACACATTCCGTGACCCCACAGGGAGCTCCACCGAAGGCCTCAGTGCCACCGTCCACATGCGTCCCCCACACCCATTTCGGCACCCCCCTCACACGTTTCGAGAAGGCCCCAGTGCCACCGTCCACATGCGTCCTCCTACATCCATTTCGGCACACCCCTCGCACGTTTCGTGGTCCCATGGGGAGCTCCACCGAAGGCCCCAGTGCCACCGTCCACATGCGTCCCCCATTCCACGGCGTGATCCTCCACATCCCTGATCAAGGCAACTCGCCTGAGCATTGTTTCTGGATGGGCTGGTGGGGTCACGTGAAGCGCCTAGAATACAGATCGAGCGTCGAATCTCGAACAAACTATCCCCATGCCCCTCCCTCGTCCTTCTCCTCCCCTCCTCCTGCTGATGCGAAACCTTCTGGAACCGTCGAAAACGTCCAAAACCATTCGTAACCATTCCAACTCCTTCCCAATCTCTTCCCTCAAACATTCCGTCCGTCCATACCTCCGCAAATCCTGGACACCCACCGAAACCTCCACTTCCGCCCTGCTCCTCCTCCTCCTCCTCCTCCTCCTCCTCCTCCTCCTCCTCCTCCTCTGCAGGACCCCTCCAATCGCATGAGGTTGCAATACCTTCGAGCCCTCGGGAATGATCGACCACCATGCCACCCGAAGGCTGGCCAGAGATATCAGCCTCCTCATGTGAGGTATTGGGCATCGCGCGCATCGTCTAATATGTTGGGACTCGTTGCAGAGAACACCCAGAAAGATCACGATACCCTTCCGAGCGCAACCCCTGCCCCAGACATGAAGAGGACCCCTGCCCAAGGGCTCAAGGGCACTCCTGATCTTGTAGGACCGACGTGCTGATCATACCCTTCTGACATCTAATACAACCTCGGGCACACGCTAACATGTATTACAGATCCGTGGAGCTGGAGCACAGGGGCCAAATCCACGGATCGGGGACAATTCATCACGAAACATGACGCCAAACGCCGCCTCAGTCGGCCACAGAACGCGTCGATGTTGTGTGGAAACTGGGCCCCTCGCTAATCCACGCGCCTGCATCCATGTTTGCGCCCCTCCGATGATACCCCTCTCCTCCTCCTCCTCCTCCTCCTCCTGCTCCTCCTCCTCCTCCTCCTCCTCCTCCTCTCCTGGTGCGCTGCGGGGTGCCGTGGTCGGCAGGCTTGGGTTACCAAACTCATGTAACCGTTCGGGTAGGCTGGCGGCCTAACATCTCGGCTGTAGGTCGTTCCTGGGGTGGCCTCAGATTAGCTTCGAAGACGCGCCCCTTGAGGAGCCTGTAGTCGTAGTAGTCCTCCTCCTCCTCCTCCTCCTCCTCCTCCTCACCCAGGCGGGGCGCGCTGGGCGCGGGCCTCGTCCCCCTCCTCCTGGGCCTGCTGGATGTTGATCTGCAGGACCATCAGCAGGGGCAGAGGGTTCTCCGCCTGGCGGCGGCCGCACCCTGCTCCTCCCTCCTGCGCCTGCTGCTTGCTTGATTCAAACGTTCCCGTGATCTGAGGCCTGCGAATGCAGTACACGTCTGTCGGAAGAGACAGCTTGAGATAAGAAGCAGGAAGGCGGATCACGTGGATTGAGTTCAGGCCCTCCCGGATAATAACAAAACACAGCAAACGCACATCGATTCTTGAAGTAGGAAGGCGCTTGAAGTAGATAGGGATCTGGGAATCCAGAAATACCTACTTACAACGACCGACGGGTAGTCGTGATAAATGGTTGGGCACTTCTTGAAACCTGCGGTTTCCTCGCCACCACCGCGCAACTGTCTCCGAACGTGCACCACGATGGACGCTTACGACCACCATGTTTCCCATGCCGGTGGCGCGAAAGAACTCTGGGGCCCACTAATGGGTTGAGGCCGTCCGAATCCATCACTTGAAGCCCTCCTCCTCCGCCTCCTGTTCCCTCCTCCTCCTCCTCATCCTCCTCCTCCTCCTCCTCCTCCCAAGGGGTTTTCCACTTGGTGGCAGCCTGGCCCTTCTCTTCCTGCTTCTCCCCTTCAAAAGGTTTTCTGTCTCGCGGCATTCTGGCAATCCTCCTCTGTCTCTCGCTCCTTCCCCACTCCTCCATCTATGCTCGTTATAACCGCCCCTCCTCGTCGCTTCTCCAGACAAATCGGCAAAAGGTCCAGGCATTTAGTTAGCCGTAAACTCCCTCACTAGCTGAATCCCTGAAGTTGGATATTCCAGACAGTGACGCGGATGGGGGCGGACTTTTGTTGTATGTGGCTCTTGCCTTAGTGCCGAGCTCACTCGCATGACGTCTGAACAAGTGTCACAGACTTGCAGGGAATGAAATTCGCGCCTTCTCAAATCGGGTCTTTCGTGTCAGCGCCGAACACGTTCGTCGTACCAAGTTCTCACCACGTTCACGGCCCTCGCCTGACGTTTCCCCAAGCTGGCACCCAATATTCTCTGGGTCGGCCAAGAGGGGGCGTCTAAGGGGGCGGGGGCGGGGGCGCAAATCATGGCTGGCGGCATGTGCGTGGCCCACCGGGGGGCCGGGAACGCATTGAAATGAGAAGAGGCGCCATGAAATCTGGGGAGATATCATGGCCCCCGCCATGATATCCACACACCCCTAGTTGTCACCCCCTCTTGGCCGCCCCCGATATTCTGCAACAGTCGCATTCATGGGGAGCGGCTCCTTCTCGGAACTGTGCTCCCGCTGGGGGCAAACTCGGATGGCACGGTCAGTAAAAGAAATCTTGTGTAGGAGCACGCGGACTGGTGTCGCCACTTCTTCAAAAAGGGGGCCCTTCCCAAGAAATGTGAGTACAGGGGCCCTGGGACACGCAAAGAAATAGACACACAGCTCAGGATTCCCCGTCTTTTCTGGGTTTTCGTCTTCCCCCCCACTTCCCGTACTTTCCTATATTTCCTTGGGGGCCGACGATTAGTGACTTGCGTCTGCGTGCCTTCTCCCCTCCCGACTGTGGCTCGCTGCCGTGCCCGGACGGGGGCGGCGGCGCCTCGGCCGGGAGAGCTGGCGCACGAGGAGGCGCTGCCCGAGCGCGCTCCCGCCCTCCCCCTTCGCCACGAGCAGCATCAAACAATAAACGTTTGGCGCTCCGCGCGGATAAGATACTCCAGATGTCGTAATAAAGGGAGGGGGGTCTCATTTCAGGGGAGGGTCTTACCGAGAAGAGAAAAACGGCATGAATAATAAACGTTTGGCGCTCCGCGCGGACTTCTTGGATCCGCGCTGGATCCCCCCTCCTTGGCGCGCGGAGCACGCCAGGGACGGCGCCAGAGGCGCCGCTGGTGGGGCCCAAGCGCGGATCCAAGGAATCCGCGCGGAGCGCCAAAAGTTTATGTCTATGCTGTCTTCTGTTCTTCGAACAAAAATGTGTACAGTCGAGGCTTTGACCTAAGGAACCCTGAATAAGGAACGCGGTCCCTTTATTCCAAAAGTTAAGCTTCGATTTCGCATGGATGACCCCAGGAAAACATTAGGCAAACTGTGAAACAATGAACACCGAGCCCCTCCCCAACGAAAAGGGTTCCTTCTTCAGCGCCCCGACTGTACGCAGACACCCTCCGACGAACTTTGCATGTACCTTCAGGGAGGGGACGGTGTCTAAAGTTGCTGGCTCCCAGTGCTGATTGACACACCGCCACCCTACTCTGAGGCCCAGGAACAATCCAGTGGCGGGTGTCCGTGTAATTTTCTCTTTTGTGGCGGACCCTCCCCCAGCCTCTGATTGCTGCTCGGTCCTCCTCGCTCGGGTCACGTGTGCGGGAGCCGGCCGGGGCCGCCCTGTCGGGGGCCCGCCCCAGAAGGAACCACTGGGTGGGCCTGACGCGTGCGGGTCTCGCGCGAGACGGCGCAACGACCTTGCGCGGTGGCTCACGCGGGCCGCCAGCGCGGCACGCCGCACTGGAGACGAGGGCGCTCACGCGCGACCTTCCGCGGGCAGCTCGCACG